GTGTTCAACAGCTACCTGTGGAATGAACTCAGATGTTTCTTGGGCAGAAATAGAAGAGCTACAAAAGGCAGACAGATATGGACTGACTCTCCTGAGCAAATTCAGCTCCCTGGGCTCCATTTCTCAGTCTACAAAGAAAGGAGGGGGGCTGGGAAGGTGACTTTAGTGGCAGAGTGCTTGCCTAGCATGCATGAAGCCCGGGTTCCATTCCTTAGTACCACATAAACAGAAAAAGTTGGAAGTGGTGCTGTGGCTCAAGTGGTAGAGCACTAGCCTTGAGCACAGAGAGCTTAGGGACAGAGTTCGAGCCCCAGGATGGGGGGGGGGGAATGGAGAGGTGCTCTCCCACCCACCCTGCAGCAGCTGCTTGAGCAGCTAACTTCCTTGTTTTACTCACCAGCACCAATCTCAGAGGCTATTTAGCAAGTTTTCCTCAATCACACCTTTTCTTGTTGTTGCCTTTGGACCATAAAAGCCCAAGGCAGAGGCTCTGATCCGTGTGTGTGTGTGTGTGTGTGTGTGTATGTGTGTGTATATGTGTGTGTATCAGGAGGAGGAGGAGGAGGAAGAAGAAGGGGAGGAGGAAGTTAAGGGCTCCAGATACTTGAGGGCTCTCCAGAGAGGCAGCAGGCTTCCGGTGCCTGGGGGGAGCAGGTTGAAGGGAGGTGGTGCTAGAAAGGAAATGACAAGGGTGGAGGAGTGGCCGCAGATAATCGCTACCAACCCTCAGCCCTAGAGGCAGTAACTCTTATTATCCTCCAATGAGGAAATCAAGACTAGAGAGGCCAAGCATCTTGCAAAAATCTGGTTCCAAAGCCTGTTCCTGCTTTCTACACCTCCTGGTCACTGGGCTGAGCATCTGAATCACCCTGAACTGAGGGAACTGAAATATGGCCGCCCTGCCCTGACCTGCTGACTCAGAGTTTCCAGGGGTGGGGTCCAGGTGGCTGTATTTTCCACAAGCTGTCATCTGGACTCTTCCAGAAAGGATGTCCACAGCCTCCCCAACCTACGTAGCAGCCTCTAACTTCTGGGTGGGTAGCCATTGACTTTTGAGAGGTACAATTTATTCACTCTTTCCTCTGGAGGCAGGGAGAGAGCAGCATTCCCCTCCCCCACTCCCCAGGGCTGTGGGAGAGAGATGTGGGTGTCAGATCTATGCAGATCATAAACCGTCAGCAAGGACTGGTTCTGTAGTTCCAGCTTTCAGATCCTGAACTCATGGCTGATGAGGAGGAGATACAGCTCCACAAAGAGCAATGGCCTGGGAAAGATGAGTAAGCTCAGTCTTGAATTGAGAGGTCCTTGCAGAATGTCTGAATGCCTTTTCATGGGAACTCACTTGTAACTACTGCCAAAGGTGGAAATCTCTTTATGGGCTATGTAACCTACTGACAGCAAGAAAGGGCTCTATGGGTTGGTATGGGCAGCAAAGGAAAAGAGAGAGAGGCCCAGGAAAGAGAGGAGAGGGGACAATCATGGCTAGCTATCATCTATTGAGATAGTGTCTCACTGATTCCTCCTGCCTTTGCCTCCTGGGTGCTAGGATTACAGGTGTGTTCCACTTCCCCTAGCAAGTATTTGTGTTACTTTTATGGGATGGCTGGCTGGCTTAGTGATCCCCAGTTCAACCTTCGTGCTTTATAGACAGGAAACTAGAGGGTCAGTGATGGAGGGTGAGTCGTCGGAGGTCACCCAGTGGGTCACAGGTCCAGTCGTATGTGATTCTGCATCAAGTGTTCCATGTGTGAATACACCACTCCCTCCCACCACCTCAGAGCACACAGGGGTCGAGGCAAAGCTGATGACGCCAGCCTGCAGGTTTCTTAACTTTCCTTCTGCCAAGGAGCAGGTAGTTGTCCCTCTCAGAGAAGGAAAGCCTGATGCTTAGAGCCTTTCAGTGGGGAGGGGCTCCTCCTTTAAGGTCAGCCAGAAGCTTGGCAGCCTTGGCGACCATGCTCTGTATACTACCTCCCCCCCCAGCCTGTCCTGGGGACGTAATAGGCCTGCTACCTCCCAAGATCCATGCTAAGCCACTCAGGGCTCATCTGCAATCAGTCACTGCCTGGCAGTCAGGGAGGGAGACCCAACCCTCGGCTGAGGGGTTTCTTTCTACAACTATGTGTCAGGCTGGCACTCCTTAAGTTCCTTAAAGAAGGCTCTGGGAACCCATGAGAAATACCAGCCCTAAACTTCCTAAGAAGTTTGTGTGTAAAAAGTCCACTCTGCCCGGGCGCCGGTGGCTCACGCCTGTAATCCTGTCTATTCAGTAGGCTGAGATTTGAGGATTGTGGTTCAAAGCCAGCCCAAGCAGGAACATATGTGAAACATTTAACTCCAATTAACTACCAGAAAACTGGAAGTGGTGCTGTGGCTCAAATGGTAAGAGTGCTAGCCTTGAGCTGAGTTCAAGCCCTACAACCAAAAAAAAAAGTCTGCTCTGGACAGAAGGGTTTTCGTTGGTCTACTTTTACTGCTCTCACCCCACGGGACAAATGCCGTCATACTTTCTACAAGGACTCAGAGGGAAAAGCTCATCTGGTCTCTTCCTCTTCTGCCCCAAACACCCTCAAAGCCCTTGGGCTTTTCTCAGGACTTCCTCCTCCTCTGGCCTCATCTTGGGGGTCCCAGGACATCCAAGACAGCCCTCTACTAAGAACGCAGGGAGAGGTATGACACACATAGCTAAAAGCCGTTTTGGCAAGAGCAGCTAACTCCAAGACACCTTTCCCCTACCCCCAGTCTGCAGGGGAGTGAGTAGGCCCTGCTGGGGTATCTGTCTCATCTGTCTCTTCCCCTGCCTTCTAACCACTTCTCCATTTCTTCTCTCTGCCTTTCTGGCACTGCCCACTATCTCTACTCCCCCCCCACCCCACCATTCCAGTGTCCATGTTATAGGCTTGGGGGGAGGGAGTGATGACAACAGGCCACCTTCCCTCCACTGCAGGGACCCTGCTGTTTCCACCCTAGCCCTCATCTGTCTCTTGACATTCCTGCTGTTAGCACAGGTTCCTGGAGGAGAAGTTTCTGTGAAGTCCACCATGAGTCCTGTGCAACCAGAGGTGTTGTAGGGGGTAGACTCTGTGCAAGCAGTGAAGAGGTACAAGACAGCAAATAGTTCAGTGCGCAAGCTCACCATGGAATCTCCCGACAAATATTCAACCTGCAGGGCTGGAGGAGTGGGCATGGGGTCACCCAAACACAGAGGCATGAGCTAGGAGGCCTTCCTGGCTCATGGCTGACCACTGAGGAACCATACCTGAGGGACAGAGAGAGCCTGGGGAGGTGTCAGGGAAATAGGTGGAAAATAAGACCTTGGAAACAAGAAGCATGAGCATCAGGACTGCCCTGCTAAGATATTAAAGAGACAGAGTGGGAGTTTTGAGTGTGGGCCCGAAATTCCTGTACCTTGGTATCTGATCTGTTTTTCTTCATCTGTACACAGGACTCAACTAGATAACGTAAGCTACAAAAAAAGCGATTGAAATAGGATGCACAGCAGTAGACTTTATAGGGAAGTAGAAAATTATTCCTTGGATGCTCACAGTGTAGGGCATCCAAGCTCACAGGGGCAAATTCAGTAATATGGGTGTTGGGCCAAGCTAGGGCATGCTTATTGTGTTCCATTTGCCTCCCAGCTTTCCTACCTCAAAGTGGCTCAGTGGTAGAGTGTTTGCTTTGCATGCATGAAGTGCTGGGTTCAATTCCTCAGCACTACCACATAAACAGAATAAGCCAGAAATGGTGCTGTGGCTCAAGTGGTAGAGTGCTAGCCTTGAGCTGAAGAGCTCAGGGACAGTGCCTAAGCCCAGAGTTCAAGCCCCACGACTGATAAAAAAAAAAAAAAAAAGAGTAGAGGTTGTGGTTTTACCCCTTTGTGGGACGGTAGGGGAGACATCTGGAATCTAGTGTCTGCCATCCACACTGAGCACTCAGTGAAGTTATTTACAGTGAGTGAACAAACCCTTACAGCAGGTCCCAGAGAGTGGAGACTGCCACTGTGCCTTCCCGCAGTGTTCCCTGTTCTAGTGGTCCACGACCTTGCTTCCTCCCCACAAAGAGGGTGGGGAGGGCAGCACCAGCCAAGGATGGAGGAAATGGAGAGAAACTAACTCCCCATCACTATCATGGCCAGATGATGGACTTCAGGACCACTGACAGGACTATCCTGTGCACAGCTTCCACCTACTTCCTGCCCCACGTCTCAAGGTCTATGGTAAGTTTCCCAACCTGCTGTGTGTGTGTGTGTGTGTGTAGGATGATGAGCTGGGTGGCAGTGTGTGTGTGTGTCTGTGTGTGTGTAGGATGATGAGCTGGGTGGCAGTGTGTGTGTGTGTGTGTGTGTGTGTGTGTGTGTGTGTGTGTGTAGGATGATGAGCTGGGTGGCAGTGTGTGTGTGTGTGTGTGTGTGTGTGTGTGTAGGATGATGAGCTGGGTGGCAGTGTGTGTGTGTGTGTGTGTGTGTGTGTGTGTAGGATGATGAGCTGGGTGGCAGTCTATCAGGCCCCTTGGTCCTCACTCCCTCCTCAGCTCTGTCCCACATGCAGGCTCAGCTACCAGCCTGGTTTGTAAGTGGGGTGAGGCCCTTTATGCCTCTCTCAGCTCCAGAGGAAGTGACTGACAAGTCTAGCTAACTGTCTTTCTTTAAAGCCAGGAGGCAGCAACAGGGAGGAGTAGGGTATAGGCCCAAGCATGACTGGGGAGCCCATAGGGAGCCTATGAAATAACTTGGCTCATGGCCTTGAAAACCCCAGGATGCCACCTCTACCCACCAGTCAGGGGGCCAGGTTCAGGCACTAGCTCTGTACAGACCTCACTGGGGCCCCCAGGTAGCAGGCGGCAACAGGCAGCAGCAGCCACTGAGTCCAATCACTCCATACCAGCTTTCTACTCCAGGCCAGGGCTGCTGGATGGCAGGGTGCCCACCAAGTCCCAGGTGGCAGGGATTGGTGGGGTGAGTGTGAGTGTGAAGGCCCCCAGGAACCCCCAGTACCCCTCACCTTGAGCTGGGACTTGGAGACCTTGCCGCTCTTCTCCACGTCCAAGGCAGTGAAGGCGTACCAGATGGACTTGAGCAGCTCCTTGCGCAGGGCCATGGCTGAGGCGCCTGCCCTGCCTGGGGGCGGCTCCGACACCAAGATCCGGTTTCAGGAAGTGCAAACGGCTGCAGACCGCAGAGGGGCCCTGGTACAGAGCAAGAGCTCCACCTGCCTGCTTGCTCTCACTCCCCTGCTGGGCTGTGGCTCTGACAGTGCTCAACTAGTCCCTCTACCTGCCAGGGAGCAGGGACCAACTGCCCAGAGCTGGAGCCTCTGGTGGGCCTGGAGTCCCAGGTATGTGAAGCCTTTTAGAAGCCTCCTTGCTGAGCTTGCTGGCACCTTTCCCAGGCTACCAGAGGTGGCACACTGAGGGAAGAAGGCCATCCTGACTTTGCAGCCAGCAGATGGGGTCCCACTTAAGTGGGTTACTTAACCTGACAGAGCCGTTTCTTCTTGGTGAAGGGGGAAAATGCCCAAGTCCCAGGGTGTGAGACATCCGAGACGGGATGTTAAGGACACAGTAGGCTCTGGATGAAGCATTTCAGTTCTACCTGACACAGCCTCAGTGGTGGGGCTCCACCCAAGTGGAAAAAAACAAAAGTGACGCCACAAGGCTAGAGGAGGAGCTGGGCCAGGGCACAGCTCCAGGTCAGCAGACTTGGCATCTGACTTGCTGGCACCCCATTCCTCCTGAGGGGGTCACTGGTTCTAAAAAGCACCCAGAGCACAGGGGTCCCAGCAGGAGTAGGCTGGGGATTCAAGGCCTCTGCACAGCGCTTCAGTTGCCTTAGAGTAGAAGCCTATGAGGATAGCCAGGCCCACCCACAGCAGAGGTACTGCTCAGAATAACAGACACCCCGTCTCTTGGGCACGCCCCAGCCCCTCTGCTTCTACTGGGCTGGGGTCAAGACTAAATGGGACTAAAAACAAATAAGAACAAAATAAAACAAAAAGGAGTAGATGGGAGTTTGTAGGCACCCTGTGAGGATGCCAAGGCTAGAGGAGGGGCTCCATTCTTGGGCAGGAAAGGGCTAGGGAAAGGGGCACCTCCAGTTCTGATAGTGCTTCCATCCAGCTGGGGGAAAACACACAGCTCCTTTCCACGAAGTACACGAACTCCTTGCTGCTGTGGGGCTGGCCTTCCCTTCCCCTTCACTTTTCAGTGGGATCAGACTATGGCTTTGGAGTCCCATAGTATAGCCCCTGACACCCAGTGCTCCTCACTCCACAGCTAAGTAATGGAGCCAGGACCCCAATAACCCTGGCTGCTCTGACCTGGGGCTTTTCCCTTTTTGTGGCAACTGTGTATAATGGGGGTGGGGAGAGGAGCTACACTCTACCAAGGATCCTCCTGCCTTGGTAAATTCTGGCAACTTGCAATCTGAGGTGCTAAAAGAAAATCAATCTACAACAAAAGGCAGCCAAACCCAGAGCTCTTCCAGCCCAACCATCTGAAACCTGAATTGCGCCAGAGTCTGGTCTGTCCTCTGGCCCTGGCTTGTTACCCTAGAGCCCAAGTTCAGGTGTGGGTAGGAAGCTACTCGCACCAACTCATACATTGGCCTCCCATCCAGACCCCAGGCAGGCCAGCCCCACAACTAGGCCGTGGAGGTTGGGCAAGTTTTGTGCCAGGGAAACAGCATGTCCTGCTACCAGGGCAAAGAGTTCAAAGGATGGAAGAACCAGGTGGAAACTTGGAACTTTTATTAAATAGTCATTCACCCGTTTGCCACCACCACCCAGAGAAGGAAAAAAAATATCAAAATGGAATTTAAAAAAACAAACAAACCACAAAACAAATGAAACCCAACCCCCAGCAGTCTATGTACAGCCACTCACTCCCTGTTTTTGCCACAAAGAGATTGGGAAGCAGCTGGGGTGTGTTGTGGGGAGCTGGGCACCTCTGCTCCAGCCACAGGCCCCTGAGGAATTAATTCTGTGGTGGCAGGAAATCTCTAGTGCCAAGTGGCAGACATCCTGGCTGCCTCCAGGAGGTGTTATTGCTGGGCAAGGCTGGGCTGCTCTGCCCTAACGCCCAGGGCTGAAGAGCTATCTGCCCTTTTCCCTGTTAGGCCCTGACCTGTCAGCATGGAGGCCAGTACCCATTGCCCCCATCTCCACCTGAGAGAGGGACTGGACAGATGCGGGATGGGTGTTTTCCAGAAGGGAGAGAGCAGGTCCTAGTGCTACCTAGTGATCAGGCTGGTTTTCCTCAGCGTCTGCTGCCTGGCCCTCACCTCAGGCAGGGGCCCTTCCCCTTCAGTGAGGCCAACTTTGGGCTGCCTTCTCTCTCCAGACACCTACGTGGCCACCTTCCATGTGCCAGGCACAGCCAGGGCCCTTGGAGGCAGGGCTGCCTGTGAGCGCAGCACTTCCGCCAGCATGGTGTGGGAGCCAGCCCTCAGGCTCAGCAGCCGCTCTCTGACATGGTGGTCTCCAGGGCCACTGCCCCTTGCTGCATGGCAGCAGTGGCCACACTGATGGCCTCCTCCAAGGTCTGCTGCTCCTCTAGCTGCAGAGATGGGGTGCAAAAGGAGGAATGTGTGAGGCCCTTCTTCCTAGATCCTCTGGTTAAGTGCGCTCTACCTTTTTGAGTTCTCCCCATCTACCCAGGACCATATGCTGAGCTTTTACTTGGCAGGAATCCAATAAACAAAAAGTTCATCACTAAAGAGTCCTACTAGGCTAGGTGGGCTAGCCCCAGGTTGGAGAGACCAGCTTTTCACAAGAGTGGCTGGTTGGAAGGACCTTGATGGGTATCTTCTTCAGCCTTCTTTCTCCATGTGAAGAAACATGAAGGAAGAGATGAGGGGATCAGCCTATAGGTAGACTGTGGTTACGTTGAAGGCTGGAAGGAGCTTCCTCATTCTGCCTTAGTCAAGAAAGAGCCCAAGACATGTGGATGCAAGCAGAAAAACATCTGTCTTCTGAGGTGGAATCTTTTTGAAATTGATCTCCTTATGTTCAAGATGCCCTACCTCTCCTTTTTTTTTTGGTCCGGTCGTGGGGCCTGAACTCTGGGCCTGGGCACTGTCCCTCAGCTCTTCAGCTCAAGGCTAGTGCTCTACCACTTGAGCCACAGCGCCACTTCCAGCTTTTTTTTTATGTGGTGCTGAGGAATCAAACCCAGGGCCTCAGGCATGCAAGGCAAGCGCTCTACCACTGAGCCACCTTCCCAGCACCTCCCTCCCCATTTCTTTAAGGGATTCCCCTTTGCTCCCATACTTCTACTCACCTGCACTGCGATGTGCGTTCCATTGGCTGTAGCCAACAGCGCCACCTGTTGGTGACAGAGGGATGTGACACTTGAGTCCTCAGCTACTACAGTCCCAGAGGTAATGATTGTGACCTGAAACCCAGAAGGAAGATTTTTTTTTTCTTGTCGGTGGTAGGGCTTGAACTCTGGGTCTGGGCACTTTCCCTGCACTTTTCATCTCAAGACTAGTGCTCTACCACTTGAGCCACCGCACCACTTCTGGTTTTCTAGTAGTTTATTGGAGATAAGTCTCACCCTGCCCAGGCTGGCTTTGAACTACGATCCTCAGATCTCAGCTTCCTGAGTAGCTAGGATTACAGGCATGAGCCACTGGCACCCAGTAGAAGGAAGATTTTTTTTTTTCTTTTTTTTAATCTTTTTTGCTGGTCGTGGGGCCTGAACTCTGGGCCTGGGCGCTGTCCCTCAGCTCTTCAGCTCAAGGCTAGTGCTCTACCACTTGAGCCACAGCGCCACTTCCGGCTTTTTTTTGTTTATGTGGTGCTGAGGAATCGAACCCAGGGCCTCAGGCATGCAAGGCAAGCGCTCTACCACTGAGCCACCTTCCCAGCCCCAGAAGGAAGATCTTTTTTTTTTTTTTTTTGGGTCCGGTCATGGGGCTTGAACTCTGGGCCTGGGCGCTGTCCCTTAGCTCTTCAGCTCAAGGCTAGCGCTCTACCACTTGAGCCATAGCGCCACTTCCGGCTTTTTTTTTCTTTTTGCTTACGTGGTGCTGGGGAATCGAACCCAGGGCCTCAGGCATGCAAGGCAAGCACTCTACCACTAGCCACCTTCCCAGCCCCAGAAGGAAGATCTTATACCCACTCACCTATGCACTCTCCCTCTCCCCATTCCAAGTTAGAAAAAAATAAAATCTATATAGGCGCAAACTAGAAGGGAGTGAATAAAATCATCACGGGCCAGATTAATTAGCTCAGGGCTCTGAGCTAAATGAGGCTGGGTTTTCTTCAACGTAAGAGTCAAATTGAGCTGGGCTCATGAACCTAGTAATCCTAGCTACTCAGAGGCTGAGATCTGAGGATCATGGTTCAAGGCCAACCTGGGCTGAAAAGTCCGTGAGATTCTTTTTTGTTTTTTGTTTTTGGGTCCAGTTGTGGGGCCTGAACTCTGGGCCTGGGCGCTGTCCCTCAGCTCTTCAGCTCAGGGCTAGCGCTCTACCACTTGAGCCACAGTGCCACTTCCAGCTTTTTGCTTATGTGGTGCTGAGGAATGGAACCCAGGGCCTCAGGCATGCACGACAAGCACTCTACCACTGAGCCACCTTCCCAGCCCCTCTGTGAGATTCTTTTTTTTTTTTTTGTCGGTTGTGGGGCTTGAACTCTGGGCCTGGGCCCTGTCCCTCAGCTCTTCAGCTCAAGGCGAGCGCTCTACCACTTGAGCTACAGCGCCACTTCCGGTTTTCTGGTGGTTTTATTGGAGATAGGAGTCTCACGGTCTCTCCTGCCCAGGCTGGCTTTGAACCGCGATCCTCAGATCTCAGCCTCCTGAGTAGCTAGGATTACAGGCGTGAGCCACCAGCGCCCGGCCTCCGTGAGATTCTTATCTCCAATAAACCACTAGAAAACTGGAAGTGGCGCTGTGGCTCAAGCAGTAGAGAGCTTGCCTTGAACTGAAGAGCACAGGGACAGCACCCAGAGTTCAAACCCCACGACCGACAACAAAACAAAACAAAAACAAAAAAACCCAAAACAAAATATTCTTAAAATGTTTTGCCTTACAGAAGAAGGTGGTAATAGGGCCACATGATTCATTTTCTTATACTGATCTCCAAGGAATCTGTTACATTACTTTCTTTTTGGCCAGTCCTGGGGTTTGAACTCAGGGCCTGGGTACTGTCCCTGA